AGGTCATCCGGTATCAGTGCCGAGGGCGGTCGTCAAGCTCTCGGCAAAGATGTTGCTTCTCTGGCCTCGCATATTCCTGGGCGGGGTCCAGCTTGTCCAGCAGCCGCGAGACGGGCCGGGCCCGCCACCGACGCCCCACGGGTGCGCGCGCTGGTCGGCACGCCGCCTCTCGCATGCTCCTGCAAGTCCCTCTGCGCCCGCGAGGTCCCCGCTCGCCCGAGATGCCGTCGAGCGGCAGGTGCACCAGGCGCCCGAGAGTCCGCCCGCAGGTGGGACAAAAAAACAAACAAAAAACACACAAACACACAAAAACACACACACACACAAACACACACACACACTAAAACACACAAACACACACACAAACACACACACACAAGCACAAACAAACGCACACACAAACACAAACACACACACACACACACAAACAAACACAACAAAACACACACAAAAAACAAGGGACCTCGGATACAGTTGCAGTGTGCTGGATTGCAGCAGCGAGTCTTTCATACGCATAGGTCGGCTTTGCGGGGCATTCGCATCAGACGCTTGGCAGAATCGGGTGCGCAGTGCGAGCCGCTCGCTCCCCCGCACAAGCGCGAGAGCTGGAAAATGCTTGGCAATGGCCTCGACCCGAAAAGGGATGGGGTCTCAGTCGAGCTTTTCTCTGGTTGCGTTGCCTGCTTCAAAAGAGGGGCTCTTCGACGGTGGGTGTCAGCCAAAATTAAACGCCTTCCTCCCAGCCCTCGCCTTACTCCTCCTCCTTCTCGTCCTCCTCCTCTTCCTCCTCCTCCTCCTCCTCCTCCTCCTCCTCCTCCTCCTCCTCCCCCTCCTTCCCAACCATAGCGTCGCAAGCCAATAGCAGGACGTTCAGGGTCTAATATTTTTGATGCTACGGAGGGACGTCCCTCGCCTATGTTCGATGATGCGTTGCGGTACAGATTGCTTCCCTTGGGGGGAGGAATGGCGAGGGGTGCGAGTGCGAATGAGTTTGTCTCTGCTTCCCATGTCAAGCACAGGCTCGGGCCGCACGCTTGCATGTGGCGGCTCTGCTTCCCGTGCCATGGCATGGGTGGCCCGCAGGAGCTGCCTCGGAAGCCGGCCCGCGGGATGCACATCGGCGGCGGCAGGGGGCAGTGCGGCAGGGAGGGGGCGCGATGCCGCCCCCCCCCCCCAGGCGAACCTGCCAGGCATGTGGCCGCACACCGCCCGATCAGTTCGAGGGGCGGCCTGCCCGTCGTCGCCGCCCACCAGCGCGCAGCCCGGCGCAAGAAGAGCGGCGGGGTGGCCACGGCGGACCTACTTGCGGGAGCAGCTCCGCATTACCAGTCTCGATCATATCCCTGTCCCTATGCTGGGCACCTCCTCATCACGATGCCAATCTTAGGGATTCCCTTATTGTTTGAGGGCGAATCCGTAAGATTGTCATCGCCTTTTGGCGTGTCAACCATAGGGATAGGGATCAGTTCGAGGCTGGCAACCGCAGTCGTGCCGGCGAAGGCGCCCCGGACGCGGAAGAGCTCAAAGTCGCTGTGCGACGCGTGGGGCCCGCACGCCCTTATCCTCAGCCTGCGCCGCCTCGGCCCGTGTTCGGTGCCGCAGACGTGGTCGCGTTGCTTCCCAGCGTCCTCCTCCTCCTCCCCATCCTCCTCCTCCTCCTCCTCCTCTCCTCCTCCCCTCCTCCTCCTCCTCCTCCTCCTCCTCCTCCTCCTCTCCTCCTCCTCCTCCTCCTCCTCTCCTCCTCCTCCTCCTCCTCCTCCTCCTCCTCCTCCTCCTCCCCCTCGCGTGGCCAGGTATACGGAGATCCTGCAAACGTGTGTCTACATGTGGCCTCCGCAGGTTCCGCATGTGGATCCAGCCGTGTGTGTAGTCCAGCCACCTCTTCGCTCCTACTGCCCAAGCGTCAGCGCCCGCCTTAGCAATTCTGTCGCGGTTCGTGATGGAAGCGCAGGTCATGGAGACCTGGGGGCCTAAGCTGTCATGTGAGATACATCCTCTACCCGAAGCAAGCTGGGGCTGCCCAGGCAGATTTTGACTCGGGCTGATCTCTTTACCCATTGAGGGCTGGGAGACTGCCAGGCACAAGCTCCATGAAAGATTATCGGATATACGGCAGGCCTTGCATGCGCGGCGAGCTTTTCCGGGTGACCCGAGGGGGTGGGCTTCTGAGACGGTGGCAGGGCTTCTCAGCAGGCAAGGAGGCTTTGTGGAAGCCCGCCCGCTTTTCGAAGAAAGCTTCTCAGAAGCCTCCGGGGCCGTTCTAAGAAGGCTCCCGTGCCGTCTAAGAAGCCCTTTCGCCTTCTGAGAAGAAAGACCCTTCGCGACACCTGCTTGCGGGCGCCGCCCCAAAGACGAGAGGGCCGCTCCGTGGAGACTCGTCGCTCAGGGACCTTCAACCGCAGCGAGCGTGTCGCAAGAGGCGCTGTGGGGTCGCCAGCAATGGCGTTTAAAAGTGCGCGACGTGATGCCGAGGGAGCTCCGCTCCCGACGTCCCGCGTAGCCTTGCAAACTTGCATCTAGTGCGAAGATTTGTTTAAACACCAAGCAGTAGCCGCCGCCTGCGGCAGGCGGGGTGACTGTGCTGGCAGTTGCGGAGGGATCGGTGCTTCAAACACCAACCTCTTCAGCCGGGGCTGGGAGCGGCCCGCAAATGCCATGAGAGTTTGGGGCGAGCCCGAGCGGCGGTCTGGGTGGCGTGCAGGGCATCTCAGGTCCGCACCCGTATTGTGGAATAGGAGTTCCAAACAGTTCAATCCAGCCCAAGGTCCAATTCTTGCAGAATGAGCGGTTGCCGTGTCCCTTGACAGGCGTAGACGTGCGGCAATTCGCCGCTTTGGATGCACCCTCCCGTTTAAGAGGGTCCGCGAAGAAGGGTATCTCGCCGACCATCGTTGGATGAGTTGGCGTGCTCAGTGGTTGTATGCCCGTCCGTCCAGCTGGTTGCCGCTGGTGGTGCTGCGAATGGGCACAGTTTCCGCGTCGGCGCGATAACTTGACATGGTTGCCCTGGTGGCTGGGGGGCGAAGCCAAGAGACCTTGGACAGAAGCGGCTGCGGAGGCAGGCCTTGCGAGTGCGGAGCTCTGCAGCAGCAACGGGTGGCGTGCGTGGTGCGATGGGCAGCGGGGCACGGCCCGAGACAGGCCGAGGCACCCGCCCGGCGCGTCACGTGATGCACGGTAATATGACGTCGGGCACGGACGCAGGGCACGACTCGGCAACCAACATATGAGCAACGGTGCGGGCGCGACACCTCGTGGGGCAGCTGGTCGACTGGCCTGACTCACCATAGGGGGCCACATGTGAACCCTACCCCTACCCCCCACGATTTCTGAGGGGAGGGTGGGGTTCACTTCGCTCGGGAGCTCCCGAACGAAGTGAACCCCACCCTCCCCCTCGGAAATCGTGGGGGGTAGGGGTAGGGTTCACATGTGGCCCCCTACACCAGAGGTCCGAGAACCTGCCGGCCATCTCCGCACACCCACGCGCGCGCCGGCGAGGGCAGGCGGCGAGCCCGCCGCCACACCTCGGGCGCTCGACCTCTGCGAAAAGGGGGCGCGGCGGGCACCAGGTCCTCTCCGAGACTGAGGCCCCGCCCGCGCCCGGCTGTTCGCCTGCCTGGCCTCGCTGCGCTGCCGAGCGCCGGCTCTGGCCCCGCGTGCTCGCCTCCCGAGCAGGCGAGAGAGCCGGCCGGCTCGTCGTGGAGCTGGCGCTCCGCGCCTGCCCGGCGAAGCGGGGAGGCGGAGGAGAAGGAGCGAGGAGCGCCCAGGAGGTGCTCGGTGGCGTCCGCAGGGCCGCCCCCGGGTTTGCGCACGGTGCTGCGCGGTGCTGCGCTGCCTGGTCTGCAGGTCTCGTGGGCAGGGGGAGCGTGGGAGCGAGAGTCGGGTCAGGGGCAGCAGGGCGAGGGGGAGGGGGAGGAGGAGGAGGAGGAGGAGGAGGAGGAGGAGGAGGAGGAGGAGGAGGAGGAGGAGGAGGAGGAGAGGGTTGAGGCAAAAAGGGGGCGGGGGGGGAGGAGGGTCAAAGGGGGCAGGAGTGAGCGAGGAAGAAGGACGGATGGGGGGAGGGGCGCAGGAGGCAGGACGAGGAGGGAGGAGCCCGCGGCCCGGCCCGGAGGAGAGGGGCGGGGAAGGAGGAGGGGGACTGGTGAGGAGGGTGCGTGGCAGGCAGGTCGTCCATCTGATGGACATCAGCGCGTGCCACCTTGCAGTGCCACGGTGGCCTCACACCCGCCTGGCAAGCCAGGTCTGCGAGCGACAAGCGGGGCCCTGCAGAACGCGAAGCTCCCAACCGTAAAACGTTGCAGGAGGAGGAGGGTGAAGAGGAGGAATATAGGAGGCGATGGAGGAGGACGACGAGAACCAGTAGCATGAGCAAGATGAGGAGGACAGCGACAAAACGTAATTCAGCCCATTTTAGTACGTCCGCTGTCCGCGGGACGTCTTCCCCCTAACGTCCGACCGCAGGACCTCTCGGCATGCTGGGCGGATGTGGAGCATGCTCCGATATGAATGTATCGCCTGAAAGGGCCATAATGCGCTTGAGCCCAGAAACGTGATTTCCCCCCCCGCCCTTTCGCGCCCTTCTGATGAGGATGCCAGGGCCAGAGAGCGGTATCAAGGGATGAAAGAGCACCCCTCGACCCCCCCCCCCCAGATCTGGCGGTTGCTACTCCGTCCTGGGCATCCACTCAGGAGTCCTGACCTGTTTAGCTCCTCCTTCAGGTGCGTTTGCTGGAGGGCCTAGTTTGTATCTTGGCATCGCTTGGACGTGAGCATTTGTCTCGGCGAGGGCAATCGAGGTGCAGCTTGGATCATCGAGCGAAAAAGTGGCGCACAAGCCGAACACTGCACGAGGAACGGACATCCGAGCGATGGCGAGCCGGGCGCGTGTTTGCTAGAGGGCCCAGTCTGTGCGGGTGGTGCGCGTGGGGTGTTTCTTGTGATTCGAAGGTGGCTTGCTGTGCCCCCTGCGGCAGCACGAGCCCCCGCCCGCCCCCGCCCAGGAAAGACCGTGGAGCAGATCTACCAGAAGAAGACCCAGGCCGAACGGGAGGGGGCGAAGGGGAAGGATCGGGGGCGAGGGGGGGGAGGAAGAGGAGGAGAGGGAGAAGAGGAGGAAGAGGAGGAAGAGGAAGGAGGAGGAAGAGGAAGGAGGAGGAGGAGGAGGAGAAGGAGGAGGAGAAGGAGGAGAAGGAGGCGTCGACGCGAACGAGCCCGCAGCACCGAGCGAACGCCTCGCAGAGCTCTCCCCCAGCGGCTCCCAGCAGCTCGGGGGCCGCGCCGGGCGCGCCCCCCCTCCCCCCCCCCCCCGAGAGCCTCGCGCGGGCCTCCGCCGAGCGACCCTCGCCATCCTCCAGCACCTCCGCCTCCTCCTCCTCCTCCCTCCTCCGCCTCCTCCCCTCCTCCTCCGCCTCCTCCTCCTCCTCCTCCGCCTCCGCCCCTCCGCCCTCCTCCTCCGCTCCCCCTCCTCCTCCTCCTCCTCCTCCTCCTCCTCCCCTGCCCCCCTTCTCGTCTTCCCCCACCCCACCCCTTCTCCAAGTCCTGCCTCTGCTCCTCTCCTTGTCCTCCTTCTGGGGGCCATCCGGGCTCTTCTGTCGTGTCCCCGAGACTAGAAAGTGCCTTCACCCACACTGTTTGGACGCTTCGTGCGCAGCCATGCTGGTATGCTTGGGCTTCGCGGTGGGTATGATATCGTTGGAAGAAGCACGAGCCCGAGAAGAAACAACAGTTCGTGATGCAAGGGACGTACCTCTCCGTCCTCCCCCTCCTCCTCATTCTCTTCCTCCTCCTCCTCCGCCTCCTCCTCCTCCGCCTCCTCATCCTTCTCCTCCTCTTCCTCCTCCAACAAGGCTGTTTCCTCTGCGCTCAACCAGCCCTTGTCGTACATCTGCACGGTCACTTGCGTGCTGCAGCAGAGAGGCTTCGTGCCTGGTCGCAACTACGCCAACAACATGGTCGACCTGGAGGCCAAGGCGTTGCACTGGCTCTGCCAGCACGGCATGGCCCAGACGGGGATGCGGGGATGGCCTTCTTGGACGTGCGCACCGCCTTTCCATCCCTCCTTCACGATGCCATCGCCTGGGTTCTGGAGGTCATGTAAATCCCAGAGGATGTCATCGAGGCCATACGGGCTCTCTACCAGGACGTCGGGGCCGATACCAGGCATATGGGGCTGCGTTGGCATTGACGTTTCAATAGGGCGCGGCATCAAACTGGGATGCCCCCTCTCTGGGAACCTGTCTGCCCTCAGCATCGGCGGCGTCCTTCGCATGCACGCTCTCCGCCTGCCCGCCCCTCTCGCAGTCTTTGGGGCCTTCGCAGATGACGTAGGTCTCTCGCCAGGAGATCTCGTTGCGAGCCTCGCCATGTCATTGCACATTTCGGACCTGGCTGACTCCGGTCTCGGCCTCGCCCTCAATGAAGGAAAGACCGCTGTAATTACTGTCGGCGATTTATCCCCAGAAGCTTTCCGTCGAGAGATGGCGCTGCACGGGTACGTATCCTGATGCGAAGTTTCAAGCCCGTGCGCAGCAGGTGCGCGCACTCGGCCTTGGGCTTCAGAAGACTCTCAGCCACTATTGCATGATGGCCTTGTCTGTTTTACTTTACGTTTCTCAGTTCTGCCCTGTCACTCCGGTGGTGCTTCACACCGAGCGCGAGGCGCTGCAACGTGCCGTGTGCGCACCCCGGAACGCCACGACTTCGTCCCTCCTCTGCTATCTCCGCTCCCTCGGCTTCCCCCTCCAAGCCCAGACGCTCGAGCATGCAAGTCGGGTGCTATGCATCGGGCCGCCATTCGTTGCAAGGCACTTCAGGACAACATGGCTTTGTTGACTACCTTTGAAGATGATCGCGAATGCGTGGTAGCGTGGAGGAGCCATCCCCTCTGGAGGCAAACCCTCTTCCGGAGCATGGTTGACAATTTCACAAGCCTCAGCGCCCTCCCCGCTCTTTCTTCCGCCAACCGCAATCCACAACACAATGTTGAGCGATACGTTGCGTCTCTGGCCCTTGACCCTTGCCTGGAGGTCTTAAGGAGGCGGGCGCGGCGTTTCAGCGGCAGCGTGCCACTCACGGTAGAAGACGAGGACAACATCAGCAACATCATTTGCCAGGTCCGACCGTTCCTACCTCTCTATTCTCTCTCTCTCTCTCTCTCTCTCTCTCTCTTCGTTCCTGCGGACGCTCACGAACTCCTGGTGTCCGAGCGGGAGGTTCGGGACCCTCGACTCGTGTGTAGCGGGTAGGGCGCCGCGCGGCGATCACATGGGAAGCATTGTCGCATGCCCCATATCTGACGAGCTTGTGACTGCTGTTTATGGCTTTGTCCTGGGGGACGGCGTTGATAGGCTCTGTTTTTGGCGCGTGTTCCCCATGCCTGTTGAGGCAATCGGATCGTCTCGATTGCCCTGCTCTTCGACGTCATGAATACAACGCACCATAGCATTCGTCCGGCACCGGCGTGTCGCCTGGGACCGACTGCTGGGGATGGCGAGGGCTCGCCTGCAGCAGTTGGCACGGCGGGGCCCAGAGGCCCTGGCCGTAATAGGGCGGCTGTGGTCTGTGGCGTCGCGCTCGTGGGATCGCATCCTCAGGGTCAGGTCGGGCATGTCCCCCGACAGGGGGATTTGGGACGAAACTTAAAAAAGAGTCCAAACAGATTCAAGCATGATTCAAAGATATTCGAGAAATCGTCCCAGGACTATGTTTTGACTGTTTTTGAATACTTCTGTGGAGGGACACGCCCGACTTAATCTTAAGGGTCAGCGGATGCTTCTCTCTTTTCTTTCCCGGTGCCGCCTTCTGCATAGGATTGCCCTTCCCCTGTCCGCGCTTCCCTGCTGGCCAGTGTCGCTCGCTCTTCCTCCTCCGCCTCATCCTCCTCATCGTCTCCCTCCTCCTCCTCCTCCTCCTCCTCCTCCTCCTCCTCATCATCATCATCATCCACCTCCTCCTCCTCCTCCTCCTCCTCCTCCTCCTCCGTCTCTTGATCCTCGCCCCGATGTTCCTACCGCTCTGCACGTAAAGCAACAATCAAAACATGATCCTGTTCCTACCCCTCGTGTTTTCCCTTCGCCTCATCGTCCGCTCTCTCTCTCTCTCTCCTCCTCGCCATGCCGAAAGGTGGAGCATATCCTGCTGCGGCCGGACACCTACGTCGGCTCGGTGGAGAAGCAGGAACTGTCCCGAATCACGGCGAACCAATTGTTGAGCCCATTCAGCGGGAGTTATGGCGAGTCCCCACAGGGAAACGCGCACACGAATCTCGCAGCCGGTGAGGGCGCAAATGGATCCAGTGAGCAGGAAAATGTTGGTCGAGTCTTGTTGTTTACATTACTCTGTTGGAAGAAGCGGAGCAGGAGACAGATGACCAGCGGGAGGAGGAGGGTGAAGAGGTAGAGGAAGACAAGCTTTGCGGTCGCGCCGTACCTGGCATCCTACATACTCCTCCTAGCCATCCCTCCCCATTGTGTTGTTCTTGTCCCTATCCGCGGACGCGCGACTCATAGCGGATCCCCCCCCAAAAGGGACCGATGTGCAATCTAAAAAGGAGAACGACGTACATCGGAGGAGGAGGAGGAGGAGGTCGCGGATGAGCAGGAGGATGCAAAGGGGGAAGAGGACGAGGACGAGGAAGGAGAAGTACGAGGAGGGGCAGCGGCAACAGGAACCAGAGGACCGGGAGAAGGCACGAGGACAAGGGGAGGGCGGGGGAGGGGAAAGGAAGGGGGCGGCATCGACGAGGGAGCCTTCGGGTCCAGAAGTGTGGCGCCAGCGCTTGGGCGCGGGCGCCACTCGGAGCAGCGGGAGCAGAGCGCCGGTGTTGAAATCAGGCCCACGCTGCAGCGTCCACGCCATTTTCAGGAGGGAAAAAAACACACAGACACAACTAATCGTCGATTCCGCAGGAAATATGGGAAAATAGGGGCAGTGGGAGGGAAGACAGAAACCCAGAAAATATAAGAAAATAGGGGAATCCGGTTATTTGTGTGTATTTATTTGTGTGTCATTGGGCCCCTCCACATTTGAGACACCGAATGCGATCTCATGGGAAACAGACAGACTTATACACAGTTTCGATCTCCGGCGTGTGTGAAAACAGTGCGCTAAGAGGGCAGCACGTCCACAGGATGGAGCCAGGGGAGAAGGGACAGCAGCATCCTTATTGAGCAAATGAGGACGAAGCAGGCGAGGAGGTGCACCCTGGAAACCGACAGCGTCTCCGATGCGTCGGCTCGCTTGGGTTCGTTTGGGCGTGTGGGGGCTTCTTGGGACCATCTTCGCGTCTGTCAGGGGTGTCTGGGAGCCGTTTTGACGTGTCTTGGGGCCGTCTGGGGGCATCTCGGAGCCCTCTTGGGGCTCTCGTCGGCTGTCTGCGGGCCCTCCTGGGCACTCTGGGCCGTCTTGGGAGCCTCTTAGGCCTTCTTGCAGCCATGTTCGCACCGTCTTGTGCCCTGTGGGGGTGTTTTCGGGCCCTGCTGGGGCTCTCATGGGCTGTCTTGGCTTCTTGCACCGTCTCAGCCGATTCGGGGGCCCTCTCGAAGAGTCGTGGGGCTATTTTAGCATGTGTTGTGGCCCCCCTGCGCTATCCTGGGGCCCCTATCTTAAGGCGCCTTTCTCGGCACTTTGTTCGCCGTCTTAGTGCGTTCTCGAGATCTGGGTTCTTGGTTGACACTTTGCAGACGGACAATGCACTTATACTAACGTAAATCAGGCATGCTTCGCCAGCGTGGCTCCAAACTTTGAGTCGATGCATCCTGGATGTGTAAGCAAGTTGGTGCAAGCTATGTGACGCCAGGTATGTAGTGTAAGCTATGTGGTGCAAGCTATGTGGTGTAAGCTATGTGGTGCAAGCTTGGTGGTGCGAGGTGGGCGGTGCAAGCTATGTGGTGTTGGCCAGGTGGTGTAGTGGTGTGACTTCTGTCGTGTACGTTATGCGGCGCACGTTACGTGGCGTAAGATGTATAAGCTATGGGATGTAAGACACGCTGAGGGAGCGATGTGGTGCAAGCCATGTATTTTAAGCTATGTGGCGTCAGCTAGGCCCGATCCGCCGCTCAGGGTCCGCTGGTGGGGGAGGGAATTGTACCGGGGAGGGGGAAGCCGCAGCCGCTCACAGCAGGGAAGGAGGGGGCTTGAAGAGAGAGAACGCGTCGATCTACCGACGCCAAGAGGGCTGACATAATTGATTCGTCTCCTCCTTCTCATCCTCCTCTTATGATGTTCCAACCTACGTCAGCCTTGATCATCAAAAGGAATTTCGAGCATCACAATAGTACCGAAACTGGATGGTTTTCACGTGTCGGTCCCTGGGTGGCGATACTCGTTCGACATTCTTTCGAAATTGTTCTGGGTGCTCGAAATTGTTTCTGGGATGTGGTCCTTAAGTACAATGGGAGCCACATAATCCTCCTACTATTCCTGGCCCCTACTCAGTTCTCCATCCCTCTAAACGTGTCTTCTTCCTTCCTTTGCTCCTCATCCTTCGCCTCCTGTTCCTACCCTTCATTCGGCTCCTTCTCCTCCGATTCCTACTATCCTCCCCTCCCTTCCCCAGTCATTCCTCCCTGCTGCTGCCAACCCTTTGGTGGCCTCATCTTTCTCCTCTTCCTCCTATCCCACGCGGTAGAATTCTGGATATCCCTTGCAGAGGCTAGGAGAACGAAGAATGACAGAAACATAACAACTCGGAGGTCCGCACGGATTTATCGGATCGGCGCTGGACCCCCCTCCTTGGCGCGCCCTAGAGGCGACCGCCTAGAGGCGACCGCCTCCCCCGCCATGCCCAAGAACGGGTAGTTACGGCCGTGCTCCTCGTCGCAGCGCACCGCGGCTCTGGCGCTCGCCCACTTCAGGAGGGGGAAAAAAAACACAGACACAATTAACCGTCATGCCCCAGGAAAATATGGGAAAATATGGGAAGTGGGGGGGAAGACAAAAACCCAGAAAATATAGAAAAATATGGGGGATATTTTTATTTGTGTGTATTTATTTGTGTGTCCTGGGGCCCCTTCATGGAAGCCCTCACCCCCCCCCTTCTCGAGCCAGCAGGCCCGCGGGGACCCACTCTGCGGTCAGAGGCCAGCGACGTGCAGCGCTTGGGCGCGGCCCTTCGCTCGCGAGTGGATCGTCGAGGGCCCTTCGTTCGCGAGTGGAGCCCTCGTTCGCAAGGGGATCGTTCGCGAGTGGATCGCGAGTGGATCCGCGCTGTCGGCCGCCTCCTCCTGGCGAAGCCGTGAGGCCGGCTCCAGAGAGCGCCCGCCTCCCCGCAGCGGCGCACGGGACGGGTCCGGGTAGCTGTTCCTCTTCCTCCTCACCGTCCTCCTCCCTCCCCAGCCAGCCCTCCTCGATCGATCCTCCCCCCCTTCCCAGCCCGCCCTCCTCCCCTCCCCAGCCCGACCCCCCCCCCCTCCCTGTCCTCCTCGCTGTCCTCCCTCCCCATCGTCCTCTCCTCCCCTTCATGTGTAATCGCAGGATGGCGTTGCAGGGGTGCGACGTGGGGCAGAAGCGCATTTTTTCTCTGGACTCCGCCTCCTCCTCCTCCTCCTCTTCCCCTCCTCCTCCTCCTCCTCCTGCCTCCTCCGCCTCCTCCTCCTCGCCTCCTCCTCTCTACCCCTCCCTGTCCTACACCTCCTCCCTCCCCTCCTCCTCCTCCTACCCTCCTCCTCCCCTCCTCCTCCGCCCCCCTCGGTGCTCTTTGTTGCTAGAGGGTAATAAGATCAAGCGCGCCCTCCTCCTCCTCCTCCTCTCCCTGTCCTCCTCCTCCTCCTTCACCTCCTCCTCCTCCCCAGCATGTTTGGCTCGAGGCGCCGAGGCGCAGCCCGCGGCTCTGCCCCCGCCTGCCGGTGCCTCGCCGAGCCCACCCCGTCCACCCCCCGCCTCGGCGCGGAGGAGCGGCCCCTCGCCGGGCCTGCCCTCCTCGATGCGGGCCCGCAGGGTTCCCCCCCCCCCCCGGGCAGGCGCGGGGTTCACACCGCGGACAGCAAAACCTCCACCTCCTCCATCCTCCTTTTCCTCCTCCTCGTCTCCTCCTCCTCCTCATCCTCCTCCTCCTCCTCCTCCTCCTCCCCCTCCTCCCTCTCCTCCCTCTAGTTCCTCTAGTTCCTACCAGAAGGCGGTCCGCTCTGCAAACCAGCCTCGGCCCCAAACGGGGATCAAAACACTCCACGGCAGACCCAGGACCCGCCAGGCAGGAGGCCTGGCGCGGGGGGCCCCTTGGAGTCCGATCAAAACCAAAATTAAACCCTCCTCGCCGCCGCCCTCGAGACTGGGAACGGGGCCGCTCCCCAGCGGCAGCCAGTCTGGGGTTCCCGCCCCGCTCTGAGGCGCTCGAGGGCGCGGCGGGCCGGGCGAGCCGCATCACGGCCCTTGCTGGCCAGCGGGACGCCGAGGTCGGCCAGGAACTTTGCTTGGCGACTCCCGTGGGCCCCGCCTGTTCGACAAAACACGATGCAGCCACCCGTCTGGTGGCCGCACCAGGCCACTGCTTGCACGGCGGCGGCGTTCAGGCGGCGGCTCAGCTCACTCAGCTGCTCCTGCCTGTGGTAGACGCCCTCCTTCGCCCTCAGGTCTGCCTCCCTGTTGCCCGCGTATGCCTGCCATGGCACCCCTGCCACACAGGCCCTGGCCCACGAAGTGTGCGACGGCAGCCACGTCAACGTGAGGAAGCCAGGGCCGAGGTCGTCGAGCCGCTGCCAGACCCGTCTCCACAGGTCCGCATACTTGTGGCCTGGGCCGCAGCAGCGTTCTCGGCCCGCCTCAAGGTCGTCTTTGATCCCCTTGCAGTCCATGTAGACCGTGATGGGCGATGGGCCGACCTCCTCCAAAACTTTGCGCAGCGCGTAGAGCTCCGCATAGCCGATCTCCTGGATGAGGAGGCCGCCGACGGTGTTCCCGACGTCGTCTACCGCCACGGCTGCCCATCCCGTGCGCGTCAGGTACGGGGCCTCGGGGTACATCGCGGACCCGTCGATGCAGCTGACACCTTCACGGAGGCCGTGCCTCGCGCTGCCTGCGCGATGGCAGAGCTCGTCCATGCCTGGGGGCGGGGCTTGGTCCAGCCCGTGGTGGACAAGGCCCCTGACCAGGCCCAGGTCGTCCTGCGGCGCCCTCCTGCCTGCGTCGGCGGTCTCCTGGAAACCCAGGTCGCGCGCCCAGCAGGCGATGGCGGGGCATGC